ACAGAAATTCATAGTTATCCCCGGCATGAAAGCACCAAGTAATACCCTGCAATTCTTGTGAGTTGTGAGTTGTGTTGAACAGCTTTTTGTAATTGAGACTAAATACTTGAAACAACTTAGAGAGAAAAAGATTATCTTTTGGTTTGTGGTCCCAGAAGTTTCAGTCTACGGTTGCTATGGGCCTGAGGTAAGAAGTACAGCTTGGTGGTAGAAGGGTGTGCTGGAGCAAAGCTACTAAGATCATAGCAGCCAGGAAGAAGAGAGAGTGGGAAAGAACAGAACATATACGTACTGTAGACAAGATACAAACCCAAGGGCATCCGACATGACTCCTTTCAACTAGGCACCATGCTCTAAGCATCGAATACCTGCCAATAATCCCACTGAAGTAAGAATTCATCAATAGATTATTCCTCTGGCTGATTTTAGAGACCTCATGATCACTTTCCAAAAGCCCATTAGGTGGCAAGCCTTCAACACAATGAGCACTTTGGATGCCAAGCATAACATGGCAGTCTCTGCTCTGCCCCTCTGCATAGGGAAACTCGGAGGAATGACCCTTTGCCTTCACAATAGTCAGTGTCACTCCATGTGCAGGAAGACTAATGGTTCCATGATCATATGTCTATTATCATATTTTTGCTGTATGTTGGAATCTCCGTGGCATGTCAGACAACCAAAGCAAATTCACACTCAGGATATGTGTTAATCCTAATAAAGATGGCTGAAGAAGGATAAAATCCTTGTAGTGTTATAAGGTTTTCAGCAGTTAGCTGAATGTTCTTCTTAGGGGACTGTAGGAATAGGACTTTCAGCTGCAATGGTAATCAGAATTTGCTTGTTTGGGTACAAGTTAATGTCAATTAGGCCATGGGTAGTTTCCAGCCCTGCCAACATGAATCCTTTGTTCATGGACAGAGCCAACAGAGGCTGGCCTATAACAGAGATGAGGTAACATGTGCTGAAGGAAATATTATGTCCACATGCATGCTTTTTCAGTCCTTTCTCTGAAATAAATATCCCTTAGTGGGCATTGACATGAAATAGATTTCTGCACACTTTATGTTCATTCTTTTAGGTCTATCTATGTAACTTCTCTTTTTCTCTAATCTCCAAGTAATTTATCATGACCAAGAAATCCTTATTTGTTTTTATCTCATACTATTTCTCCCTCCCATCAAATTGCAAAATCAAGTGTACTACTCAAAGCAGGGGTACTGAGGTTTCCCCTAATCACTATTCTTTACATACACCTCTATATAAATATTTTGTTCCATAGTAGTTCCTCATCATCTTGTATTAACAAACTTACCCAGGTATAATCTGGTAAACTAAAGTAGGACATTGGTGTGAAAATAGGTATATGATTTTTTTCTGCAACTTATTTGTATTCTTAAAATCTTCTTTAATCTAATTTTGAATGAAAATTTTTCATTTTTTTAGTGTATCATGTACAGGGTTCACTTGACCTGATAACTTAAGGTTATGCCAACACTATTTCTGACTAATGTCTCAGGTGATGATATCCATCAGTGTTGTCAAGTCTTCATTATCTGTTAAGGCCAGTACCTTGGTCTACCTTCAGAATCCTATAGTTCTTTACTACTACTCACCTATCTAGAATTTTATCTACTGTATTAGAATAAAATCAGTAAAACATATATATGTGTGTTTGTGTGCATGTGTGTGTATAGAAAAAAGAGGTATGAGAAGACTAGATAGAGCCATTCAAAGAAATTGGTTTCCATATGTAATTACAGGGACTGGAAAGTCAAAATGTTTAGGGCAGACTGGGAGGAAATCAAGTAGAATTTCTATGTTGGACTCACCCAGCAGAATCTCTTCCTCAGGAAACTTCAGGCTGATTGCATGAGCCCTAATCATATTATAGGTAGTAAACTGTTTACTTAAAGTCAACAGAGGGTAGATATGTTACTCTAATATAAAAATGACTTCACAACTTCTACACTGTACAAGTTGGCACTGTATTGCAACTAGTTGCCATGAAGGTAACTGTTGTATCCACTGCCTATACTTATAATATCTTTGTGCCTACCAGTTTATACAGACTAAGCAGAACTGCTTGTATCTTCTATTACCATTGTCCCTAATACACTCAGCTAAATGGTCACAGGGAAGGATCAGAGATGCACAACTTTACACTATACACATTCCCTGATAGGCCATGACACTTTCTTTACGGTCTTGAATTCTCTTTTACAGATGGACTCTGGGTATGAGAATTTTCTTAAGTCTGAAATTAGAGGAAGAGATCATATTTTTCAAGTTGTCGCAGTTAAAACCTCCCTTCTACTTCCTTGTTCTTAATTTCTTGTTATAAAATCAAGTGATATCCTTGATGGTAGTCTGCTATTCCATCCTATACCTGGGATGACTAACAGACGTATGGCGTTAGTCATCACCACAGATCTTTGCATGTTGTAAAAGGCACCATTCTGGCTTTGCTCCATTTTACAGTGATTATGCTCAGCTTGCCCCTGATGACTATTATTACTTGATCTCGACTGTTCTAGAATCTTCTCATCTAAAAGACACTAGAAAATCCAATTTTAAAGCACTATTAAAGCTGACTTAGAAAAGATAGTTCTTGCCACTGAGCTTTCTGGATACAGAAATTGAAATTAAAAGTAAAAGGATCTATGTCATTGGCTGATGTTTGTTTGAGAAAGATAAGAGTAAAACAGTTGACTGAGTGGGGAGGGTGATTCATTCTCATATGGTATAATATTGATTCATATTGTATAATATGTTGCAAGTGCTTCTAATCCATAGCTGGCATAACAGAGGGAAAAGCACTTAACACAGTGCTCACCATTAAAACTGTGAAAAACTTACTTCTGATTATTTGCTAGCTGAAGGACCACTATTTCCTTCCCAAGTAGCTCTAAATGGTATCGCATATGGTGATAAAATTGGTTAGGTATGGAATGGAAAGGCAAATTTAATACTAAATTTTTTTAGTTCAGAACATTTCCTTTTATACATGTAAGTGTAGCTTAAACAAATCAATTCCATCTGATTAAATTCACTTTACATGGTTAATGTACCATGGACATTCTTTCTACTCTGGTGCTTTTCCCAAAGATCACAGGAAAAGTATTTAGATGTTCGTTTTGCCTGTCTCCCCACTGCTCACAAAGTCCAATACATTCAAAAGGAAACACTGTATTAAATTAATTGTTTCAAGTTCAAAGGCTCATCATGTATGATAAACAAACCAAAGGAAATGATAAGATGCAGTGTCACATTTCATTTAATACTTGAAGCCACTCAAAACAAGGTAACATCTAATTCATTGTACCCTTACTATATACTCATATGTCATAGCTCTTTAGGGAGAAAGAAAAACTAAGAGAACCTGAAGCTGGCAAGTATAATGTGAAGTTATAAATGATTTAGAGCAGTGGTTCTCAGCCTTGACTGCACTTTAAAACCACCTGGGGAGCTAGTAAAACCCTCAATTCTCTAGCCTCACCTGAGACTAATTAATTCAGAATTTCTGGGGTTAAGACCCCGGCAAGAGAATTTTTTAAAGCTCCCTAAGTAATTCCAGTGTGTCAGCAAGGTTGAGAACCTCTGATTCAAAGAACAGTTCTCAAAGGTTCGTATACTTCTAGACACCTGAAAAGCTTGTAAAAATTCATATTACTGGACAATATCCCCAGCATCTCTAAGCCAGTATTGCAAGAATTTGCATTACAAACACATTCATAGATAATGTGCTTAAGATTTTAAAAATTGCTTATGACAAATCCAGTATACCTCAGTTAATAGACTGCTTTACTGTAGTCATAGAAGAATGATTAAAGATGCCTCTCATTAATTCTGTTGGAAAACAAAACAAAATCTCTAATACATGTGACTTCTGTAAAAGAATAAATTTTTCTAAATAAATACATTCCCCCACTGTATAAGCCTAAAGCACATAAAATGGCAAATTCAAAGTTTAATAATTTAAATGAGTGTAGGGCTGGTGAGAAAAAATGTTTGTGTTTTAAAATATTTTAGACAAATAAGAAAGTAAGGAAAATCTAAATATTCATTAGTTTAGCAACTTCAGGAACCATTTTTTATATAGGCGACTTTTATTGCCAATACTGAGAGAACAAAAGTAGAAAACATACATTTAATAATGATGGTGATGATGATAAATTTGAATTGGTCTTGAAGTATATTTCACAAACTATATCTGCCAGCTCATGATCCATTTAAATTTCTCTTTTCTACTCCGCACCAATGCCAAAACTGGATAGCATCATCAGTATGGTGCCTACCACAAAGTAAATTTGTCTTAGTCACTATCTTTTGTTGATTGTACAAAATATCCAACACTCCCAGTTTATGAGAGGACAGATATATTTTGGCTCAGCTTCAGTCTATAGTTGACTGGCTCCAAGGCAGGAAGAGAAGCCACAGGAATATGGAGGAGAGTTATTTACTGTACAATTTCACATCCAGGAAACAGAGAGAGAGATCAGGGGAGGGAGATAAACCTTTCCAGGTCTTTGCCTCCAGGTCTGCTTTTTCCTATCAGATCCCAATTTAAAAAAGCACTCTCTATAATCAAGTCACCTTCCAAAGCACTGCCCTTGATCACAGTAGGATAAAAATCTAGATATAAGCCATAACAAAATCCATGGAAAGGATTCAGCAAGGATGTGCTGAGTATTGAATACGCAGCCCTGGATAGGAATAGCTGTCTTCATCCTACACATTTACTGTGCCACATTGGCTGATTGGTTGGTGATTTGACTTTTATTTCCCTTTATTAGCATATATTTGCTCTACATGATGTTTACATGCATGTTAGGGAGTTGGTGTAGGTTTATTCCCCTTCCCCTTCCCACATTCCCCCTTCCCTTCATCTCTACCTCCATTTCCCCCGCTTTTATAATTGTTACTATTATTTTAGTTCTTGTTTGCAGCACATACTGATTACATTCATTGAGGGTAGCTGGTACATGTATGACGCCTCTTACCTCTTCTTCTGTCCCCTTCTCCTCCTTCTCTCCAAGCTCTGGGTTCTCTTCCCATTTGCATAAGATTCACCTCAGTGTTTTCCTTTAACAATTTTCTACTTCGTTCTTCTCTTTAAGTGTATTCTGGGTTGTGCAAATGAGAGAAACCGTACAACATTTAAGCTGATTTGTATGATTTATTTCACTTAATATCATGGTTTTTAAGGTGCATCAATTTTCCTACAAATGTCTTGAATTTACCTTTCTTCAGAACTGAGTAGTATTCCGTATGCATAGAGGCCATATTTTCCTTAGCCTTTTATCTGTTGGTGCACATATACTTCTAAGATTTACCTATTATGAATTGTGCTGCTATAAACACCGGTAGACATGTACAGTATTGCTAAAATATGTTTTTAAATTTTGGGGAAAGATATCTAAGAAAGAGAATAGCTAGTTTGAATAGAATTTGTTTTTAGTTTTTTGAGAAATCTCCATTTTGATTTCCATAATTATTATACTAGTTTATATTCCCAAAACAGGGTAGACAGTTTCTTCTTCATCAAAGTCACAGCAGAATTTATTATTATTTCATATCTTGATGTCATCTTTTCTGGAATAAGATGAAACCTAAGTGTTGTTTTATTTTCCATTTCTCTAATGGTCAGTCAAATTGAATTGTTGTCGTGTTTTTATTGAGTATGTGTATATTTCCCTCTGAGAGGTCACTATTCACATTTCAGTTATTGAGTTTTTGACTGGGTCTTTTACTTTGAGGGGTTTAATTTTGTGAGCTATCTATATATTGTAGATACTAGCATTTTGAGGTTAACTAGCAATTTTGCTTTTTCATTCTCCAAGTTGTATCTTCACTCTGTTGTTTCATTTGATGTGCAAAATTTTTTAATTCAATATACCCACATTTGTTGCTTTTTTTCTGTTATTTCTTGTTATATTATCCTGTTAAGAAAATCATTCCCTATTTTCACCTATTTTCTAGCAGATTTAGTGTTTCCATTTTAGTGTTTAAATTTTAGATCCTTTTTGGTTTAGTGCATGCTGGGAGATAAATGTCTAGCTTCAATTTTCTGCATATTACACGCCAATTTTCTCAACACCATTTACTAAAGAGGCCACTGGTTCTCCAACATGTATCTCTTGCACCTTTCTTCAAAGATCAAATAGCTGAACATGTTTGAATCTTCTGTTCTGTTCACTTGATCTACATATCTATTTTAATGCCAATACTATAACAGAAATTGGTGAGACAAAAGTTTGGATTCAGTTAGGCTGTAAGCACATTAGCCCCAATATGAAGTTGGAGAGACTCTGCAGTTGGAGTCTGCAGAGTCATGACTCTCTAGTTTACAGAAGTACCTTCAGTTGTCTTTGACTGTCTGGGACCTTCCTAGAGCATGGTCACTTAGGTCATTGGCTTAAGGCTCCATGGGCCCTTCATGGACAATGTCCGAATACTGTATATATGGGACCCTAAAAGTACATAGTCTCTTATAGTGTTGTATTCCTTTTCTCATTGCTGAGACCAAATATTCAACACCCAAAGTTAAAAGAGAAAAGACTTACTTAGCTCACAGTTTATGGAGTCCATAGTCAGCTGGCTCAAAGGCAAGATGACAGAGCAGAGGAGCATCACAGAGGCTTCATGGCAGGCAAAAGGTAGCAAAGCAGATCTTCCATCCCTTATAATTTATCTGGGCTACTTAGAACAGGTAGCACTAACACCCTTAATCCTAGAGCTGATGAGCCTAGTATTGCACCATAAATTAATCCCAAGATTGACATAGCCACCTCTGCACAACTCCATCTATGACCACATGAGGCCTTGAGGGAACATCTAGATATAAACCACAAGGGCAGAGACTATGTTGCTTACATAATGGCTTGAGCTTCCTTACAAAACCCTTAAAAACTTCTAGACAAGAATCTCCTTGGATATCCTACTCAGAACCCCCTTCCGGCTAGCAGGAAATTTACTTGCTTGTCTTTATAGCTTTTATTTCCTTGCATTTATATATTTTAATTCAATCTGCTTGAACTCTACCTTCTCCACCTGTGGTTTCATTTTTTTCGCAGTGAGACAAGACCCTGAAATTCTGATTTTAAAAATGCTGTTTTTATTACCTTAGCCTCATAGTATAACTTGAAGTCAGATATTGTGGTACTTCTTTCTTTGCTGTTGATGTTCAGCATTGCTTTTGCTATTCTGGGTCTCTTATAGATCCATGGAAATTTTAGTATTAATTTCTCTAAATCTGTTAGGAATTCTGGAGGTATTTTTATTGGGATTGTGTTAAATCTATATGTCACTTTTGGAACTATGGGCTGATGATATCAGTTCTGCTCATCCAGAATAGGGATATCTTTGCAGATGTCCTCTCCAGTCTCTTCATGCAAAGCCCTGTAATTTTCACTGTAGAGCTCTTTCGCTTCCTTGGTTAGGTTTGGTGGACTTTTCTGGCATACTTCATAAATTTAATGTTAGTTAGTCCAAGAAATTCAGAACTGATTCTTAAATGAGGGCTTTTGGAATCCTAGTCTTTGTCACTTGGTCTATGATCTCTTTAGAAAAGCAAGACTTCCTGGGAAAACCACACGTCAGAAGGTGATCACAAATAAGCAGCTATGAGACAAACACTGAACTCCTTTGTGGAGGTACATACTATTGGGAAACCATCATCCACCAGTCACTGAACATCGGCAAACCTTATAAATATGATCTTGGTAACTTTTATTTCTGGATATTTTCTCAAAGATGTTTGTATAGAGGGATATATTATTCCCCATGCAGGACAGAAGGCATATTTGCTTGCAAAAAAATATGGTAAACATAATGTGATGCTTTCCTCTGGGTAAAATTTTGACAGGCTTGCTTACTGATACCCCACTTAAAGAACTGGGGTTTCCTAAACATGGCACTACTTAATTCTAACACAAACCAGTCGTGAGTAGAATATGCCAAATCTTGTGTCTGTGTGTCACCATTAATTGTCTGGGGAAGGGCTCTGATATAAACATGAAATTTGACTATTTACCATGCTATGTGTGATAAAATCCATTGTGTCTGATGTAGGCATTTCAGGCCTTTTATGTGTATCAAGAAATGTGTTATGCTAACCTGTTGTCATGTGAATAGAATCCACTACAATACTGACAGACCCTAAAACAGCCAATGTGTCTCTACATATTCATACAGTATCCAGGCAGCCAACACTATCTGTGTGGATATGGTCACTGTCTTTTAACAGAAGGAAAATATAAAGAATGCATGTTATTGCTAAAGTTATTATGGTCATCCATGCAATGGAACTTGATATAGCTTTGAAAATTGTCATAGCTATGAAGATACTGATCTGGAAAGAAATTCAAGAGACTTTCAGTTAACAAATAAATTATGTACAATCATATATATCACATAGAAAAGAAATTGAAAGCTTATGACTTAAGCTTATTTATACTGAAAAGTTTTTGGAGAACCACTGATTGTGCTCTTTATATATTTTTTCATTGTTTATGATATAATTTCTTTACTTTTATACTTCATGTCTTTTAAGATTATATTTGTCAATGATCTTAAGCATAAGGACAAACTGAGAATAAAGTTATCAGAAAAAAAGACTGCATTTCTCAGCCCTTTCCATGCAAGGAATTATTGTCACATAACCAATTTCTGGTTAAATAAACATAAATAGATGTATTGTATATGCCTTCATTGTATGTGAGTATCATTAAAGGGAAATAGCATATATTTCTGTGCCCTTTATTTCTCTAGGAATGCAGACTTGATGTCTGGTGCATGAACAGCAAAAAGGCACATTCTGAGAATGTTGGAGATACAAATTTCCAAAGGAATCTATGTTCCTAATGCCATGCAGTACAATGCCAACCTGACTGCTTCTAAAAATAAAAGCTCCGACTATGAAATGAAGATGAATTTAAATTGCTTTTATCTACTGTTATTTTGGACTTGGGATAGTTTGAAGCTGAACTATATCCTAAAAGTTGCAAGAACAAAAAACTAGGTCTATTTTTTAAACCGTGGACACCAAGAAAATATTGACACTATGAACATCAATAACAATATTATGACTAGTGCAGGACTTCAAAAGAAAAGATGGACAGATACTCCATAAAAATTTCTGAAGTGCTAGTAGGATCCTGAGGATTCTATTACTCTTCACAGAAAACTGAATTTCCTGCTGATAATGTGACAATTTAAGTTGGAAAGACTGCTTTTTGAAGCTGTCTTCCAGAATGTAGAAAGTGAATCGCACTTCTCTGTCATTAAACAAGTTGTACTAACTTCCTAAAAGACAAGAATATTAATACAGAATGCACGAAACTTCAGTGAAAGGAATTTAACTAACAGAACTTTAAAAGTTATTTTCCTGTCTTTCATTTTCAATTTGAAACTTCTTTGAATGGCTACTGTATCATCCTAACAAGCACATACAGAAAATCAATAAACCAAAAAGTTCAATGTAGTATAAAATGACTGAAGTTGGAAATACTATGCAATATTGTACTAAACTAAACTAATTCTACCAGACATTTTTTTTCTTACTGCAACTATTTTTAATGTGCTAGAGTCCTCTTACGATGTATCTTTTGTTATAAGGTAAAGTCATTTTTGTGCAGCAGGGAGTCATTGCTTCTGAAAATTTTATCTTAGGTCTCATTTTTTATTTCCTTTAAGCAAAATGAGTATCAGGTAAAGGGCTTAGATAACTACCCTGAAAAATCATAATTTATCTACAGTGAATACTTGGAATATAAAATCAAGAATTAGAAAATGCATGAAATGATAACTATAGCAAAGTTCTTTTCAGATCATTAAATACTGCATGTGCTGTGCAGTGTTTAACCCTAGGTATCATTTTGAAGCACAGCAGTGCCTATATTTCCTAAGCTTTTGAATATGAGAGATCTGCTCTTAAATTTGGGGGGTTTATTCTTTGAATTTGGGAGTTGTTAAATTTAACTTGCCTCTAAAATTGGCATGCTTGTTGATTTAATTCATGTGTGAATAACTAATTAGAAATTTGAATGGTCACAGTTATATACTGTTTCTTTGCTCTTTTGTCATATGTCAATAACAATCTTTTAAAACATTCAGAAAATCTTGTTGTACTTGGTTCAAAATACCCACCTCTATACAGGTTAGCCTGGTGGTCTAGTCACACACATGTTCTCAGTACTGTATCCATAGACTTGAAATAGGGCAGAAAAAGCCATGGTTTCCAAGGTCGACGTCCTGAGATAAGCCAGGAACCACACTGTCCTCCTTTTGCAGCTGACAGTGGAGAAATCACAGGAATAAAATACGTTTTGCATAAGATGCAGTTATCTTTGATCATGTTGATCTCTGGTGTGTCTGATAAACCAGACAGGACAAACATCTGGAAGATTTTTCCTTGCAAATAAAACTAAAAAAGTCAACTTGTACATTGCAAAACATGTGGTTATTACCACATGATTATTGCTAGAAACATCTGAAAGTTCAGCTCATGTTATTCGAGGTCAAGAGTAGTTTTCCAGGACCTGGAATGTTAACAGAAAAAGTTAAGCAAGCCAAGTACAGGAGACAGGTATTTGTCAAGCTACAAGACAGATCACTGCCACTGAGACAAGGGTAGATACTCATTTGAATGCAAGTGATAAAAGCTGGCGAATTCTGCACAAGAGTCTTCAGCATCAAAATTGACTAGAACATAGTGAAGGACCCCAGGAGAAATTAAATCCTAAGACTCAGACCAAATATGGAAACAATGATTTTAGGGTTTCAAAAAGAAAAAAATGATGAAAAAAAATAGGAAAAGAAAAGAGGAGTAGAAGTGGGTAAGGGAGACAAAGAGGAAAATATTTAATAAGACATTACTTTATGCAAGAAAGGCCATTGTAGTGGGTTGCATGGTGACTTCTAATGAGATATATCACATCCTAATTGCCACACACTCAGTATTACATTACTTGGAAATAAAGATTTTTGCAGATATAATTAAGTACTTGTATCTCAAAGTAAGATTATTTTGGATTATGTGATGAACCTTAAATCCAATCGCAAGTATACTTTTAAGGGTCACGCACAGAAGTATCAAACAGAAGAGCAGAAATGAATGTATCAACAGAGGCAGATACTGGAGGGATACAGTCATTAAATGAAAATGTCAATATAAATCAGATACTAAAAGAAGTAATGAATTAATAAAAATCTCCCCTAAACTTTCCAGAAAGTATGTCTCTAATATCACCTGTATTTTGGACTCCTGGTCTCTAGAAATATGAGTGAATTCTTTCCACAAGATCACAAGTTTTGTGGCCTGTATTAGTCAGTTTTTCATCACTGAGACAAAATATCTGACAGCTGCAACTTAAAAAACAAGAGATTTTTCATTTGTGGTTTCAAAAGTTGCAGTACATGGTTAGTTGACCCCAAGGTAGAACCATGATGACAGAAGATTATGGCAGAGGGTATTCGCTGAACTCATGGCATTCAGGAAGCGAAGAGCAGGGGAAGATCCAGAGAGGAAAGCACCAAACCAATTATAGTATCTAATTCAAGTGTACCCATGACCCACCCAGATGCACTCTAAGTATGTTTCACTAACCCCCAGCGAACAGTCAAGATTAATAGTGATTTGTTAAGGCAGTCACAGAAACCTACTATACCACTGAAGCAGAAGACATCATTATTCACATTTCAATAATGGAATGCAATCTCAGTAAAGCTTAGAGAGACCCCAAAGTTTCCAGCTCTCAAGTGTCGAGGAAAGGATTGGAATCCAGGCAGTCTGGCTCCTGGGCTCATACTCTCAACTCCTGTCCTAACTCATCAATTCACAAAAGCACAAGAATTATTCAGTGTCTCAGCTCATTACAGAACAAGGCTAGAACTGCTTCCATCAAAGTCTAAAAGCAAGGCAAACTGAATCATACAAATTATCAGTGATTTTAGCTGTGAGAAACTGAAGAAACAGGAAGAAAAGATGTAGCAAGACTTTGAGTAAGTGAGTAACTGCACCAACAGTCATCTTGTGCTCTGATATCGTCCTACCTGGCTAAGATAACTGAAGAAGCCTTAAAATACATAAGCCTGATTTTAGGAATATACTATAAATCTAGGAAAGTATAAAAACATGAATCCAATAAGTTTTTAAATACCAAAAATAAAATGTGATTATAGAGATTTATCATTTCTTTTGTCAGAAATACTAATGAGTAGACTGAATAGACTCAGAAAGAGATAAAAATATCTGTCACTTTAGCACCTAAAATAGAAGTGAAGATGGGAGTTAAGATGTTACACTAGAACTGAAGCAACTGACTTGGGTTTATGGAAATCAACAACGCAGATACCAAGCTCTGCATCCAAGAATCAGGAATCGTCCCAGTAAATGTCAGGGGGACCTCATGAGATCCATGAGTAACTCAGCCTTCATCAGTTATCTATGGAGATTATTTTCTTCTATTTTCTTTGCAATATGCCCTGAGCTACCTACCCTACCTCCTCTTCTCTTGAAATACTGAAGTATTCATCCATGAGCTGGAGAGTGGGCTATGGTTTTCAGTAAATAGGTAATAACACAGCACCCACATGAAATAAATCCCATTTGTAGTTTTTGTCAGTGTCCATAGTGTAAATAATAACACCGTGGCAAATTTCAATCTATCAAAGTGCTATAATTAGATCTGAAGTAGGAAAGAGATGTGCAGTTGCCATCATTAATATGTATTCATGCTATATAGGTACATGGCATGAACAACATAAGAACATCAATAATAGTAAAACTACAGGACAATATTTAAGGAATGAAGTTCTGCTTGTTATTTTTTAAAATATCATTTAGCTAATACCTGGAGAATTTAATTTTAATAATAGCTTTGTTTAACAACAGATTAACAAAATCCCTGAAAATACATGTCTCCTCTACCTAGCACTGTGAGACGGAAACATTTTCCAAAACCAATCTGTCTTTTAATGGTTTCTACTCAGTGATTTTGGATTACTTCACCATTCTGTGTCTACCCCTTTGAAGCCCCATGAAATGTTTATTCTGAAAATTACCTTCATTCTTCATTTTCTAAAACATGGTTGATACAGTGTTATACAAGTCCTAGGTGTTTATAGATACTTAAGGATAATGGAACATTTTATATAAGTATACTTTACACAACTAAAAATTGAATATTAGACTACATTTATTGATTGATTGATTGGTTGGTTGGTTGATTTTGGTACCAGGGATCAAACTCATGACCTTGTGCTTGTCAGGCAGACACTTGTGCCACTGAGCTAAGCCCCCAGCCCTAGACTACATTTATTTTTAAAAGTGATGTAGCACCCTGATCCTTGAAATTCCTTTTTGACCATCCATGTCCAGACATTTTTCTCTGGATTTATAGACCACTTCCCCTTTCTTCTCTCTATTTTTCCTTGACTAAAAATTTCATCAAAATGTAAGATGTATTTGTTAGCATTCTTCCCCAGTCACTTCTAGAGCATGCCCCACCTAGGCCTCAACTTTTATAGCTCAAGAAATTCTTTGACGTCGTTTTGTTTTGTTTCTGTTCCCTGGTTTTCTATAAATGATTTTTGTGATCCCTAAGAGGTCTTCTGGAGCCATTTGTAAAATTAATACCACTGATGTGCAGCACATCAAGAAGCAAGAATCACGTCTTAGATTGCTTTAACATCACTGTTGCCACAGTATCAATTTTTTCTTTCTTTCTCTCTCTCTCTCTCTCTCTCTCTCTCTCTCTCTCTCTCTCTCTCTTTCTTTCTTTCTTTCTTTCTTTCTTTCTTTTGGCCTGATATAACTCATTTAAATACCAGTCATAGCCCATCACCTTTGGCCTACATAAAACCTCTGCTATGCTGGGCTTGGTGATAAACACTTGTAATACCAGCTACTGGTGAAGTTGAAACTAGAGATTCATGAGTTCAAGGTCAGCCAGAATAATTAAGGAGACTGTACCTCAAAATCAAAAGTATAAAAGGCTGGGGGTAGAGCTCAGTGGTAGTACATCCATGGGTGTCTCCCTTCCTGCCTGGTAATTTGTCATCTAGATGTCTTGTTCCTCATCTCACTAAACTGAAGCCTTACATGTGCCACAGCTGCTGACCATGGTAAAATCTAACAGTCACCAGTAGAACCATATAAAGAAGCTACCCTTTTCCCATGTGTTTCTCTAAATAAGCCACAGCCTGTGGAAAAATCTCCAGAGTAACACACATGATGTTAATAAGAGTTTGGCCCCATGTTACCCCACTCTATTTCTCTGACTTCCTTCAAACTGGTTGAGCTGCCAGCTACATCCAAACATCTCAGAGGCACACAAACATTTCTGCAGTCTGTAAATAAGTCCTTCCATTTCACAAATTTTGCTTTCACTATCTCATGTTTCTTCCAACTGACACATGCAAATGGACACAGGATCCCCTACTGTGGGGCTATGTTAGGCTCTTGCCACGCTCAACAGAACTCTCAAGAAAACAGCAAGATATAAATCACAACAGATAAGTTTATTATCAGAAATTATGACAAGTAGGGCCATTAGAGAGCTTCCTGACCCAGCAGAAGTTAATTGCATCATGATTCAAAGATGCTAGGGCACAGCAAAAAGGGCTGAGCTCATGTCTTCAACAGGATCCAGAAGTTCAGGACGTGTCCATAAAATGACACTAGAATTTTCAGGAAAGTTCCAGTTCTGTTCCATGTTAAGGCAGAAATCACAAATTAAGGGAAACCCAAGCTACAATTAAGTAAAACCAAAGGACTTCACAATAAAAATGTGTAATCTTTAAAAACAGAAAGTGATAACCAAGTCACTACCCCTTTGTTACATGACTCTAGAAATCTGAGATTGTGCCATTTTCTTAATATCGCTCATGCTGCTTACTACAGAGTCTTATCTAAGAACTCTGGATTTTAAGTTGTAGGTAGAGTGGTTGAATCATACTACACTCAGAACAGCTGCACCCACCTCAAAGTTACCGAGCCAATCAAATTGAGGGAATGGTATTTATTCAGTGACACGATGACATGAAGCCATTCATCATATTAAACAGTGGTGAAACTGTGAAGTCAAACCACATACAATTTCAATTCCCCTTACCACAACAAATCCCCATATTTCTGTGTTAAAATTGATAATATATGTGATGTCAGAGTATAAGAAATTTAAATAAATCCTATATTACATTAAAATAGCTCATTACTTAGATATCAACCCACATTCTGATTTTCCATGTTTTAATTTCAGTCATGTGCATCAATCCATTGGGCTAACACCAACTTTATATCAAAGATAAATTAGCCCTAAAGACATGTGCATGCACATTCATGTAATCACAGAGAATTACAGAATGTAAGCGTATTACCTTACTCCTGTGAAAATAATCCTGTCTTATTGTATCACATATAAGGGAAGAATGTACTATATTAGACATGGCATAATAGGGATATTAGCTTGAAATCCATTTCAGGTAGAATTCCCACTTTGCTATGCTTGGTTATGTATCAAAATTACTGCAATGTAGTCAAACATCAAAGTTTATTTCTAAGATACACACAGGGGAGACTGTTGTTCAGTGGGCCCTTTCATACTCTCTTACATAAAGCAGATGTTTAATGCCCCCCCCTTTAAAAAATATGTCTATCTGTCTCTTTGTACTATTACATCAACAGGAACAAACTGTGAACTAAGAAAGTGTTTCTAAGAGTGAAAAAATCATATATATATATATATATATATATATAATCTCCATGTGGCTCTAATTTTCTCTGCATCTACTCAGATTTAATATGAAGGCTTCTCAGTGAAATTTAATGTTACCTAAAATGCACTCTTCATCATAAATGTTCCTTTAAAATGCATTCTTTTTTGAATGTATTATTTAAAAATGTTCTTCTAAAACATGTTTTCCGTATTTGTCTCTAGCTATGAGTGTTCTGAGGGTGGGAATTCATATTATATATCTTTGTATCTGAGCAGACCTAGAGATTTTATAGATGTGCATACATATTTATTGAATAAGCGGGTTTTGCAACAAGTATTCATGAGACAAAATGCTGGAACTATTTAGTAGAAAAGTGGATAAAATTCTGATAGGCTTGCAAGGTCAAAGTCAACAGTTGAATCTAGGAAATGTGGTAGAAAAAAAAAAGATAAGAGAACACGAATGCAGCAGTGAGCTTTGGGTAGAAAATCTCAGAGCAGGAGGGCTTCCTAGGGTAGTGAATACAGAATACCCCACCCTCCTTGATTTGGAGCTCAGTAACCAGGATGAAGGCTAGGAAGAAACTATGTAATGTCTTCTCTAGTAATTTCTAACGATAGTTTCTCTAATAATTAACCAAGAGTGATCTTTATAATTTCATTTCTCTCAGACTTACCAACAACATTCTTATGTAGGCTAAGAATTCTATGCTGCATCTTATGAATACACAAGTCCTAGCTTCACTCATTAAATTCTTCTTACATTTTTCTACTCAGGATTCCCCTAAAACCCTAGAACTCTTGTATAAATCATTAATCAACTGCAAATGAACATGTCAATGTAGGTACTATCTTGTTCCTTTATATAGGAAAAAGTTATATTCAAAAGTATTAAGAAAAGAAAAAAGGTAAAAGAAATATATTTTCCTCTTCTAAAAGACAAGAGTATGGGGAAAATCTAAATTTAAAGAATTTTTATATGTTTTACTGAGAACATATGTAAATATGTTTGTATATAAACATGAAGCAAGAAAAAGGAAACTAGTCCACTGCTTAATGACTGGGGTTATGTAAAAACATTTATAAAACAGACTTTTTATTGCATCTTATGACATGTCATTATTTTAGAGTTTTAGTGCTGTTGATTTTTATCTTGGACCTGGTGTGTACATTTTAGGTTACTAAAATGAGACTGAATGACAGAGAATCAAGTCTAAGTGAATTATCGTGTATTCTCAAATGCATGGACAATTAAGCACAAGATTGGTTTTTCAGTTTCATTATTTGTTTATTTAAAAACAAAGCAAAAATGATTATACAGAATTTCAAAACAAAATAATACAAGATTAACACTGGTTAATATATTGTGTACTGCTATCTTCAAAGAAGTTGTTCAGATTACAAAATATAGGCATAAATAATGATCAAATGATTGAACAATGAAAGTATAAACTGTTCATTTTGTTGAACAAGTAGAGTTATCTATCATATATATATATATGAATACCTACACACACACATATATATATATAATTTAAATCCCTAAATATACTGTGAAATTTAAATGTAAGCAAATAAGTTTAAATCTTGATTATTTAAATCTACTGTTTAAGAATCTGTAGCTATTATAGATTATGGAGTAGATTACAGGATAATATTTTATTTTAATTACAAACAAATTGTAAGATATGTAGATTCTCTTGAGACTTAATTCTCAGCTAAATATCACACTTATCCTAATTATTTTATTCATTCAATATACATATATTTAATTACTGTGTTTCTAACAGTTACTTCAGCCTGAGGTTTCATATGTGAAAGAAATAGTTTTTCCCCTATATGAGACTATCACCTCACACAAGGGCAATTTGACTACAAAGAGGAAAAGAACAGAAATCCTACCTGAAGCCTTCATGGATAGTTCTTGGAGTAGAAGACTAGAGGAGAATGGTACAGCCAAACAGGTAAGCAATCAAAAAGAGTCTTGTATGTTGTACTGTAAAGTACTATCATTTGACCTATTATAAATGGGGAATTGCCTTCCCACATCTGTCCTTTAGATTAACTGCCATGGTAGCTTCATCGAGCATGGATTTAAGAAAGGGTCAAAAGAACCAGTTAGGATAACACCATAGTAACCAGAGGGGAAATTCTGAGGCTCTGAATAAATTACATAGTAACAGCAGGGATGGATAGAAGGGGCACCTGACAACTGTGAAGTTGTCAGGCTTGATGTTCTGTTGCAAGAATTGAAGTTAGCCCATTTTCTTTAGCTGTAAGATCTCAGGAGTTTTATATCTCACTCATTTTAAGTAGCCCTGAGCCAGTAACAAAACATAGATACAACATGAGGATTTGGCCACTTTTACTTAACTTGTGACTTTCCTAATGGCTGATCCTTAGTCTCCAGTTTCTCCATGGCTTGATGCTTATGTCATAAGATCTACCAGTTAACTGAGACTCCCCATCCAATCCTGTTTCCTCCCATGTATCCTTTTGTTAATCTTAGGTCTACAATGGGTTCTGAAGACTTCCTGTCCAGTTCTGCCTTTCTTCCTTTACTTTGTCATAAATATCCGTCTTTAATAGACTGCTTGTACTAAGTTTCCATCTCATTCTTTCCCTCTTGGGAAATGCACTTGTCATAAGTTATTTGAGAAACAGATAATAGAATTGTCAGGAATGCTTGTTGATCAAATATGCAATAAGTCAGGAGGCTGATTCAAAGACAACTCAGGATTTCTGCATGGCTAGTACTTGAATTCACTGAAATGATGTCACAGCAAGAAGAGCAGAACTGCATATGATGGATTTAGATATAGAGAACCCACTTCCTGTGAGGGCACACAGCAGATTGGCTTCATAAATATATATGTAGGTATCTTTAGAGCTTAGAAAATAACTCCCAAGTCTGTCTCTATGCATTAAAGAGACCCATCCTATAGTCATAAACATCTTACCCAGAAGCTCTGACTGATTAATGATGGTACAATTATCGAATGCAATAGTTATACATTCTATCATTAGCACAAATAATTGTGATATATGTTATATATTATATTGTGACATATAGAGATACACATTTTCTAAAACACAAAAAATAATATAATTAGCACAAAAACTTTAAGTCCAAAGTCGAGCTTTATCATTAACTAGTGGTACAAACTGGCCTGTTTATCAATACAACTAGGTTAACAATGTTTTTATGTCCTGTAGGTTTTCTTCCCCAGCTATAAAATGGGATCATCCTAGCGCTAACTTCATAGAGTTCCTATAAAGACTGAATAAGCAAACATAGGAGCTTTTAGAATGATGTCTAAAATTAGGCTATTTTATGAAACTATGCTAAGCCCTGGAATTTACTATGTTGTCTAGGAGCCTGAGTTATATATAGTCTACATATAACATGCAATTGTTTAGACAACAATGAGATTTAAACTGAGTGAAAAAAAAAATAAGCATTTCCTATTTCCGTGGACATTATACTCTAAAGAACAAAACTTGATTTATAAAGATGAAAAGCTTACCTTTTTTACTTCCAAACCATTTTCTCCAATATTCTTTGCTTCTTTTCTAGACATCATAACAAAGAAAGTGGTAGAGTATTACAACCTTTCAATCTCTGCTGAGAATGTTACTGTTGGCTTCTTTACTCCTTCAAAATTTTACAGTCACCCATTTCAACAGCCTCCATAATCTCAAGCGTCAGTGAAAATAGCTGTATTATGTCCCTTCAGAGGGTAGTGGTAACATTTATATATGAACAATGAGTGAGTCACCATCTGGTCAACAAAACACCTTTTTCATCTGTTTCTTTATTTCTGTCCCAATTAACTAACTAAATTATAACTGAGTATCTTTGTAAATCAGCACCAACCATAAAGCATTAATTTTTAGCCTAGGATTCATACTAAAGGACATAATTTAGATGCTAAGAAAGTTCATGCATTTACCTCATTTTCCCTTTCTTATCGCTCCAATGCAACCACTGATATCAAGAATATATTTTCCAAATTCTCAGTTAAAACACAAGACCCAAAAACAATGTTTTATATGATCTTGGTTTTATTATCTGTAAGGGATCTAAAAGTAGTCTTTAAAATTCCATATGTATACCAACATTTGGAATTTTGAAATATTCTAATTTCTAGGGAAATAAGATATGTGAATTAAAGCATGCCTCAGAAATTCTAGAATAAATGATTGTTTTAAGGCTCAACCTTATTCACTATAATCCTATAACATTGAATACACTTTAGATGAACGGTAAAAGAGCCGGTATATTAATATATGGGTAAAATTATGCTACCAGAACTCAGTGAGTAATAAGTAAAAGTAGTAGCAGAAAATAAATGCTTTGTTGTAGTTAATGTTTTACATTTCATCTTCATTAGTTAGCAATTATTCAAACACCAACTCTGTGTCTATTACTTTTTAGTGTATACACTGTTGGGATTATGACTAACAACCTCTACATTGCTTTATTTTAGTCAACAGTAGAAATCACTTAGAATGTAAAATTATTGCATATTCTGAGTGAAGTACTATATCTGTTTAGAAATTCACTTTGTGTACTACTAATTACAGTTATATTTTCTGTTAGAGTTTGTTTTCCTCCAGCATCAAGTTCATTTTATATGTAATTTCAGGTCAGTACAAGGTTGCTCAATTAGCAACTTATTGAATTGCAAAGCAATTCTGTCTGATAGTTTTAGCAACTATAATAAACTACAAACTACAAACTTGGCCCAGAGAAACAATTGTTAGTCTCTGACTCAACTTTCCAACCTATTGGCCACTTATCTTCTCCTCACTTTTGCTGATAGGAACCTCACTCTGGTGAGATAGTATATTTTATAATTTAATCATTCCAAGTTTTAGACAACCTATAACATTTATTCAATGTTAGAACATATTTCTCATTAGTTGGTTATTATGGCAGAAGTGAAATAACAGAACTATGAAAACTATGAAGCTCCTATTAACATAATTCACTGGGTATAGAGTGACTGTACAAAGGGGAAGATAGGCTCTATCAGGAGTAGCCAGTTTCTGTCTGGTGCAAAGGAGAGTACAAAAAAAATGGCTTCCCCTTCGTATTACAGCCTACCTCATGTTACACAGCCTTTACCACTACATTTCAAAGACTCACGCTTAAATCTCAATCCGGTTTCTAATTTCCTTTACCTCCCCACCCCTGCCCCTGCCAATAAAACACTAATGGTTTGCCATTACTTTATTGATAATAAGTAAATCACTTAAAATCCTTTTCCCCAGTTTGGTGGCATAACTTTCAAATTTGAAGATTAACATTCTTGGCACTGCAATCTGTCCTGATTTTACTTGGCCTAACTTCTGCTTCTGCCTAAGGGGCTCACATCTTTTTACAGACTGCTCATGCAGGTGATGTACTAGTGGCAGTAGAAACATAGAGTACAACTTTAAAATAATATTCAGCAGATTTGGGGACAGCAAGAGAAAGATACAGAAAGGATAAATCAGCTAATCAGCTGCAGGTGTCATGACTAAAGACAAATGATTGTATAGAGCCCTTTCTTGCTTTTTTTTTTTTCATTTTAATTTTCCTTTTTTTTAAACCTTAAATGAGCACAGTTTGGATTGGAATAATGTAGAGATAGAGAAAATGTGGTATCCAAGAAATGTGATGGGTCTCGTGCTAATTAGATGTCCTCAGTATTCCTTAGCCAGACTGCAGTTTCAGAAATAAAAATGAAGCAGACACCACATTCCAACATGTCCTGCTAAGGAATGGGTGGCCATGGAGCAGATGGAAGTCTCTGGAGATCATTATCTGCCTGAAGGTACTCTAAGAAGCATCTCTGTGGCAGAGATCTAAGGAGCTCACAAAATTCAGGGCCAAGCGTTTAGATCGCTATTCAAAAATTTTTGACAAATGCTGCAAGGTGCAGAAGCAAGAAGTACAAAAGTCACATTTCTCAGCCTTGTCTGCTCCCCTGCAGAGCTCCCATTGGATTCAAAGGCATGTGAGGCTTGAATCAGTTCAGAGGCTCATGGAGGAGGGCCAGGAAGATGTGAGAGACAGCAAGAGAGAAGAGCTGAATAAGGAAAAAGAAAAGTTCTGCACAAAATTTTAGTAAAAACAGCTCCTTCTCTCTAACTCACATAAGCACTAATGCAGCTACTAGAATGCATTACATAAAGTGTATTTATAAATTAAACTATCATATATAACATAGACACATACAGTTACACAGTATATACAGAACAAATAAAATATATCTTCCATTTATTTAAGAAAAATTAAACAATCAGGAAGGACTCAGGAAGAAGACAAACCATGCCTTCCCATGTGCTGTAAAACCAGAAGAGCGTTCTTCCTGCCACCAGTAAGCAACTGGCTGATTCAGAGGACTCAGGGTGAGATACGGCAACTGAGGTGAAAGGCATAGCTTGGTGCTTGTATTGTTTGATTGTCTTTGCAGGCTTGGGGCTGGTGGTCTGGGCATGTATTTGGAGGATGGCAGTGTGCATTGCGTCAACTGTGGAGGGTTTCCTTCTGTCTTATTTTTGAAATCCAATGTTTTGTTCTGTTTTCCTGTTTTGTTTATTCCTGTATCTGATAACCTAAGCAACTACTTTAAAGATAACAATATGCAGTATAACAACAATTGTTAAATTCCTATCATCTTGTTTTGAAAATATCCCCATAAAAAAAGAAAAATTAAACAGAGACATGTCAATACAAACAATGAGAATCCTACAAACCACCATCAAAATTCCATTTAAAACATTTCCCCTTACCACTTCCACTCTGATTCCTACTTTTTAGCAGAGACATCAGACTAAGGGATACCAATTATCCAGATACACTTGGAGCCTGAGTAATGACACCTGAGACAATGAGAGACTTCTGGATTTTTGCAAAAATGTCCTCCTAGAAGACATTGGAAAATAAACATATGGCTATTCACTCTAGTCTTAAATATTTTTCACATTTAGTTTATTTATTCATGTGGTATTTATTTTTTAATGTAAATTTAAGTCTTTACTATAGATAACCATTTAAGTAACCCAGATCATATACTAAATGACTTCTTTTCCCAGTAACATATGATACAAATTCTCTTTCATTAAGTTCTAATATATGCTTGGGTCTGTTTCTAAGCACCCCGCTGAGTGTCACTTATCTTTTTTTTTACATTTTTACATTTTATTTTAATAGTAGATACTTACCATAATGATTACATTCGTCATGGGAAGTTGGTACATGTATGGAACACATCTTAGTTTTTTTCATCCCCTCTGTCTCCCTCTCTCCCTCCTTCCATTTTCTCTCTTTCTCTTGGTCAACTTATCTTTTACAAAAGAGCTATCTCGTTGTTTTTTATTATCTTTTATCTTGCTCTACACTTTTATGTTTTATGTTTCTCCTATTTAAAAAGGATATTTAAGATTGTGTTTCTGATTATCTCACCTAGCATTATGGCTTCAAAGTGCATTCATTTTCCTACAAATGTCTCGTTTATGCTTCTTTGTGGTAGTATAGTACTCTACTGTATATGAATGTCACATTTTCTTTATCCATTCATCTGTTAGTGGACGTGTTGGCCATTCCCAGAATTTAGCTATTGTGAGTTGCACTGCTATTAGAATTGGTGTGCATGCATCTTCATAATATCCTACCCTTCACTCTTTCTGGATGATACCTATAAGTAGAATAGCAGGGTTAAATGGGATTTCTAGTTTCAATTTTCTGGGAAATCTCCATGCTGATTTCTATAGCAATTGTACTAGTTTACATTCTTACCAACCAAGAAAGGTTCGTTTTTCCCCACAGGCTTGCCAGAGTTTGTTATTGTTTGATTCTTTGACAATAGCCATTCTTCTGAAGTAAGACAGAAGCTCAGTGTTGTTTTAACTTGTCTATTTTTCTACTCCTATGCTGATGCCAAACAATGGAAATTGGTATAGGTATAAAATGATTATTGATTCATGGAAATACCCCCCCACACATACACAGATTTTTTTCTTCAACACTGACTTGTGTTCATTTCATCAAAGTTAGGATGGTTGACAAATTTTACTAAAATCTTACAGAATTTTTCCTTAAATTATATTTAAATATAGTATATTGATAGTTTATATCTGGACTTTAGTTTTTACATCTAGTTATACTGAAGATTATTTCCAAATACTTGAGTCAACACATCCAACCAGTTCCCAGTGTCCATCCCCATGTCCACCCCTCTACGACATGAATGACTCTCCCCTCTATGGTGAATAACGACCATGCCCTCACTGGAGGACAACAGCACACTTTACTATCTCTTTTGCCTACCCACACACATCTCTTTAGCAATTTCTGATCTTTTCAATCATCAGTTTTTCATTTCTCTCAGATTATTCCCAATAGTATACAAATATTGTGTGATATCTCCCATCAAAAAAAAGAAAAAAACAACTATTCGATCTCATTTAGTTCTCCAGTTACATTCTAGTTCTCTGTTTCTCTGCACCATAAAAATTTTCAGAATACCATTTTTACCCCAATTCCTCTCTCTTTCTATAAAATTGTATTTAAAAATGAAAAA